TTTCAGGTACAGTTAGTACTCATCACCTTCAGGGACTGTGTCATTAATTTTTGTACCATCAGAACATAGAAAAGTGGTCTGCAAGTATCCATCTTCAATGAATGTGTGCTGAATAAATGGCCCAATATTAACAGTTACTATTTTTTTTAGCACATTTTGTCATGTACATTTCACTATGCTAAGTGTCATATGTACACTATCTCATTTAGTCTACTCCACCAGTGATTTAAAATAAATGCGCTCCCATTCTATGAATTCAGGAACTGGAGGCTGGAAAGGATTAACAATCTCCCTAAATTTACCCAGACAGTCACTAGAAAAGCCAACATTTGAGTTCACAAAGTTTGTCAGAGTCTGTTTTGCTACGTTTCCTAAAAGGGTTATATACTAATGCTTTTTAAATAGAAAAGACTTAAAATAAAAAGATAAAAGTGATAGATCACATTATGTGAGTCTGCAGTTCCTACCATGAGAGGTAGACTTTGTTTTTTTGGCTCCACTGATGTTGGGTTTGGCTTATTTGCTTTGGCACGAATGGATGAAAAGTGAGCACAGGCTTTCAATCCATCGGTGGAGTTGGGCTTGTTATTTGTGCTCCTCCTAACCCCCTCAGGAAGACCTTGCCTCAGGACACCACTGATCTGAGCAGAATGAGAGACAAATGGAGTCGCCCTTGTCCTGGCCCACAGCTTGATGCCAAACAGGCTGAGCTCAACCCAGATCAGTCAACCCTCTAGCAGGCTGCAAATGCCAAAGCAAGAATAAATATTTTGTTATGCTACAGATTGTTTCTTAGGCAGCATATTTTTGATAATGGCTGATGAATACAATGAAGAAGTAACTTAGAAGACAGAAAACAAAAGAATACAAGAGGAATATCCCCTCCCAGTGAAGAGTGAAAAAAGGACCTCTTTTAGATGCACAGGCGAAAAAATTTATTGATGGTAACAGTGTTGTCCTGGATTGGTTAATTGGGAAATACTGGAAACAGATTTTTCCAGGATAGCTTAATGAAGAGTCATTTTTCTAGAATAATTCTTTGCAGAGTCTCAGATGTAGTAAAAGAATAAGTAGAGGCACTTCTAAAAATCCCTAAAAATTAGCAGAATTTGCTGGTCTGTGATGATTTAGAAAAGGAGTTCAAAAGTTTTTGAAGTCACAAATACATAATTATAAAAACTTAAGCTGGCAACCTTCTGATTAAGTGGCGAAATTATGTTATTTATTTTCTGGCAAAGTTGCTCTTTGGAACAATTATACTACTCCATGGTTAAGGTAGGAGTACAAGTTAGAGGCCAAAGAAAGAGAGAATTTGGATTCAGGAAAAATAAGCACATCAGATTGTAAAGGCTTTCTGTATTTTCATATTACACACACACACACACACACACACACACACACACACACACACACACACACACCCTTGCATTAAATTCTATGCCTTCTAGCAAGTTTCTGCTGAATCCTCCTCTGGATTTTCTGCCATGGTATGTCAAGCTCCGAGTGGTGAGGGTCATTCCAGGTTCCTCTTGGCCTCTCTCCTGAGCTGTGTCAGCCTCCCTCTCAGATACCACGAGGCAGATGAATGTTTGCGGTCAACCTTAGCAGGCTACTGAAGCGTCCTTTGTATAATTATCGCCTCACCATCAGTAATTCTTTCGATAATAATTTTCATGTTGATGAACGCTTTGGTGGTGGAGAAGTAGATCATCAGCACTTCAGGCCCTTTCTTTTTCTGCTGTGATTTTCTTTAATTAATTGGATGTGTTTCCCTCCCCCTAGCCTCCACGCCCCCTAGGGTTGCCAGTGAAAGAATTAAAAGAGAATTGTTAAGATTTATAGTAACACAGTCTGACCTACTTTGGAGAAAGCACATCCAAAAGAGCCCAGATTTCAACTGTTTTCTTTGTATCTTAAATCCTTCACCCTTTTAGTGAAGAAGGGCCAAAGACAAACATTATTTCACTGAAATTTAGAGAATTTCATTTTCTGTGGTAGACGGTTGACCAATAAGCTTGATTCTCATGTGGGTAAGGCTATTACTTAAAGAAAGAGCCTTTGTAGTTGGGTCAAGGGAGCAGTTTTAATTTCAGCTTCATTAAAAATGCAAAACTTAGGGCAAAAATCTTAATAGTAAAGAGGGCCAAATTGGAAAGATAAATGTTTAACATTTTCTGAGGGTCTTAGAAACAGAAAGCAGAGTGGAGCTTCAAATGAAAAAATGTTCGACAGTGTCATTTGAAGTTTTCTAGAATCTTCTTTTTAATAAATAGCTATTCAAAAAAAAAATCAGAGACAATGGTGGGGAAAAAAGTCCAGATCCAGGCAATTAGTCAAATATTTCATAACCTTAATATCCATGACATTTAAAATTTAATGATCAAAATGAAAAAGGAAGCATCAGACTCAACCTGTTCCGATCAATAAATATCTGAGTGTATGAGCCTTCATTTCCTATAGGCCTCACAGCTCTTCCAGGAAAGGATTTTGAGACCTGAGCACAGGGTGGGGTCAGGAGCACATTTTTTCCTGGAGCTTCTTTTCCCTCTTCCACTTTTTTGGCAGGGATTTTCTTGCATGCATTTCCACATGCCAAGTTGTTTTGGACTCATTGAATCTATTTTACTATTGCTCTGTTTCTGTTCCATGTGCCCCAGGATAACATACTTTTAGTTACACAGAACCATGCCCAGTGGTATGCTATAGAATCTACAAGTATTGAGAGAGAAACCACCATCACAGGCTACTTAGTTCAGTGGGCAAAGCTCAGAAGTATCAGCAGATCTGTGGCAGACTACTCATGCCTGTGCCACTACAATGGTGAAAACACCCACATATTTACAAACATGATTAAGTATAGGTAAACACACATTATTAAATATTAAATATCCATAATGGCCCAGAAACAGTATTTCCAAAGGGCACCTGCACACCTTTGTTTATAGCAGCACTATTTATAATAGCTAAGCTATGGAAACAACCCAAATGCCCAAAAATAGATGACTGGATCAAGAAGATGAGGTACATATACACAATGGAATATTACTCAGCAATTAAAAAAGATAAACACATGCAGTTTGCAGCAACATAGATGGAGCTAGAAAGGATCATGCTCAGTGAAATAAGTCAGAAAGAAAAAGAAAAATACCGGATGGTCTCACTCATAGCAGGAATTGAGAAAACCTAAATAAGAGACCAGGAAAAAGACTAATCAATGCAAAGTAATAATCAAAATCAACAAGCAACTATAAACCAGAAACACACTACGAGGGTGGGGGAATTAGGGAGGGGCAGGGAGAGGAAGAACTAGAGTCAAAATATGGGGGGGGGTGCAATTGTATGGGGAATATAACCAAAATGAAATGAATACATTGTACAAAGATGAAAAATGATGTAAGAATTATATAAAATAAAATATTTAAAAAAATAAAAAATAAAGAAATATCCATAATGTAAGGACAGCACGGACGTTAAAATGTGGGTACAATGTGAAAAAGTTGAATGAAAAAAAAGTTGCAAAAGGGTCCCAAAGGATGACAGCAAATATATAAAATTTTAAATATACAGAACATATACTATCTAACATGCACATAGGTAGTAAGGATATAATAATCTTCTTGGTCATAAAGAATAGCACCTTAAGAGGAGCGGTCACTACTTGAGGGTGAGGTGGGGAGGAAGGAAGACACAAAGTCTTAATTTATGTTTTTATTTCTGAATTTGTTTGTGAGCCACAAGGTACATGCCTTATTTGACTATCCTTTTTTGTATGCCTGAAAAAATAATTAGAGGACTGTAGACTGAAAGTTCATGTCTTCCCCTGCAAATCCATATGTTGAAACATAAACCCCAGTGTGCTGGTATTAGGAGTTGGGGTCCTTGGGAGGTGATTAGATGACAGTGCAAGGCCCTTATGAATGGCATCAGTGTCCCTATAAAAGAGACTCCAGGGGGATCACTCGCCCCTCTGACACATGAGGACGCAGCTAGAATTCAGCAACTACCAACCAGAAAGCGGGCTCTCACCAGATGCCAAATCCATTGGCACCTTGAACTGGGGCTTTGCAGTCTCCAGAACTGTGAGAGTGCGTGTCTGTCATTTATAAGCCCCCAGTTTACGGTGCTGTTATAGCAGGCTGAAATTCTGACACAGAGAGCAAGTATGTGTGTGTGTTGGGCAGGGGGAGGGCAGCTCCTGGGTTCTTTTCTCAACATGGTGTTCTCTCCAACCCTAAGCTTTCTGAGCCTCAGTTTCTTCACACACATGATGGAAAGAGTAGGACTCACCAACCTAGGGTTTTGGGCACTACTCTAAAAGAAAGAGGCCAATATATCCTTTTGTCCTTTTGAGGATGAATCTGGATTAAGGACAAGAATGAAAAACTCTCGTGACTAAGTACAGCCTCACATGATCAGTATGCCTGGTTTTTAAAATAATTACACTGACCTGCTACTTCAGTACCTGCTGAAGCCAACTCCACTGGATGGAATTCTTTTGTTCTCAAGTTTTCCTTCCCTTTTTTTTTTTTTTTTTTAAGATTTATTTATTCATGCATCCAGGAACCAGGGAACAAGCCAAATGCGTGGGAGGCTTAGAGGATTCACCAGAGACAGAGCAGGGAACAGAACAGGCAGACTGACTGAAATACACTGCTCAGGGGAGCAGTGAGAGAGACAGGAAAGGTCTGCCACACACACCATGTGGGATTCTCGCTAGCGGCTGGGATCAAACCGGCGCTACAGAGGCTGTGGACAGCTTCATAGCACTGCGCTCAACCGCCTACGCCACCAGGGGAGGCCCTCTTCTTAAATTTTCTAGAGAAAAATTGTTCTACAGTTTTTCTTGGTAGCCCATTCTAGGGTCGGGCATTTTCTATTATTCAATAAGAAATGAAGAACACCAGGAAGTTAAGCTACAATCATTCCCTTTGCTTTTACCACTTAGCATTTTATATTACTATGTTAGCTAAAAATCATATGACATTTAAAAAAAGTCACATTTGCAACCAGTTAAGTCAAGTGTACTCTTCCCTGTGGGGCCTGGTGTGCAATGGCTGCAAAGAGCAGCCCCTTGGTCGTGATGGCAGCCTATTGTTTGCATGGGTTGCCCTAAGGTACCTCGTAGACAGCCCTTGGCAATATCCTGTGGACATTCATGTTTTACCTCATGCTGGATTCAAGTTTAGGTTCCAGACAGGTGCGTGGGGCACCTTTGCAAAGTCCCAGGTACATTGGTTGGGGTCCACATTAGCCAAGTCATCATGTCCCTCTGCACAACCTGCATAACAGGAATATGCGTCTAAGGCTCTATGCAGGGCAAAGTTCAAATTCCCTGGCTGCCAGAAGATCCACTTCTCCAGCAAAAGGGGATTTGCCATATTTAATGTGGTCAAATTTGAAGACATGATGGTTGAAAAGTGGCTCATCTCAGATGGTTGTGGGGTCAAATACACCCTTAATCTATGCCCTCTGGACAAATGGCAGGCGCTGTACTCATGATAGCCTCAGAGTTGCTTTTTCCTTAGTCAAACCCACCAATAAATCCTACTTCTTATCCAAAACACATCATTAAAATAATATTGGTGGGGGGAAGACCTAGTGACTTCACAAAATTCCCACGGTAGGTAATGTTAAAAAACAAAGGAAGCTATATTACTACACAGTAAGCACTCACTTAACATAGATACTGTTCTTGAAAGGTATTGACAGGATCTTGAAAACTGTGACTTTAAGTCAAACGTACTATAACGAAAGTAGGTTCTTGAATAAATATTGGTCAGGATTTTTTTTTACACTATAATGAATTGACTTTGAAGGAAAAAAATTATTCAAGGATCTGCTATGTATGGCATTATCCCAATTCTGTTAAAAAACTATACACACACATTCACAGACACATATAAACACAACACTGGAAGGAAAATGCATATAGTCAGTAGAATTATAGGTAGTTTAAAATTTCTTCTGTATACTGAATGAATTTTTCAGGTTTTTTTTATAATGAGCATGTAATACTGTTACACAGAGTATGTTATACCATGTTACTCTTATAACAGAGAATTATGCATATTCATTATTATACATTTTTAATGTATTTTGTTTTGGACTGGAAGTTATGTTTTCACTACTATCTCCTGTCACCTACTCCTACAGTGGAGGAGCCTGGGGGTAAACTCTGATCTAGTTAGCAAGGATGGAAAGAAAACCCCCCAACCTTCTGAGATCATTCATATACCAAGCTAGGTGCTCAAAAGCCTGGTCTCATAGAATTTTTTTTAAAGATTTATTTATTTATTTATATGCCGGGGATCGAACCAGCGCTGCAGAGGCTGTGGGCAGCTTTGCAGCACAGCGCTCAACTGCTGCGCCACCAGGGGAGGCCCCTCTCATAGAATCTTTTGAAGATACTCTTGCCACATTGCAAAGAACAAGCACATTGCCAGACAGGATTCAAATGCTTTCAGAGTTACAAAGAATGTAATGCAGCAGCTTTTAATTGCCAGCATAAAAGTCACCATCCCATCCAGGGGATGATAAAATGCCCCATACATTTCTTCAGCCAGTCCAGCAGCCTGAAGCCTCATGTAAGACAATTGCTAAAACCACACAATCTATCTGTCATTGTCAGCTCAGGCCGCCACACAAAATGCCACATCTTCTAAGTTCTGGGAGCTGAAAAGTCCATGATGAAGGTGCTGGCAGGGTTTAATTCTGTTGAGATCTCTTTCTGACTACGTGGATGACAGCTTTCTTGCTGTGTCCTCATGTGCCTTTTCTCTGAGCATGTGCGTATGATAATGGAGAGAGCCCAAGAGCCAGCTGTCCAGTGTCCCTTTTTTTAAGGGCACTAATCCTATCAAACTAGGGCCCCACCCTTATAGCCTCATCAAATCTTAATTAATTTTATGTCCTAAAAGCCTTATTTCCAAATATAGTCACATTAGAGGTTAGGGACACAATTAATTCCTTAGCAAATTTCTAAAAATGAGCTTTGGAGAGAACCCTATGTGCCCTTTCTCTGTGGGGTCAACTTGCCAATGTGTTTGCCCTGCCTGCTTCTGCATGAACCAGTCTTTGAAGAACAGCAATGGGAAGGACACAAAACAATGTAGAAATAGGAGAGTAGAGAACCACTGTGGGGAGTATATATGGTGACATCTGGTGAAGGAAAGGATCTATGAGGAAACCTCACTGGTTTTCTTAATAAACCAGCATCCAACATACAGACTTGTGAGTGAAGACAATCTAAGTGCAGGTATGACTCAATTGAAGCATAAATTTATCTTCTTTCCAGAAATATCTCCTTACTAATGACAACAACCATGACAACAGACAACTTAAGGAATTTTTGTCCACTCTTAAGAACACCTCTCTGAAAGGCGTCATTGACTTTCTCTTCCATCCTGATAAACATAAGCAATCATTTATCTAGAAAGGGGATGTTTCTTTATATTCTCTTGGGCACCCAGAGTTGACTTAATCTCAAACTGAGTCTTCTTGCTTGATAAGGCAGGATGTTTACTCAGTGTTGCCTTCTACAATGCTATTCTTAAATAAGAAAATGGCTAGTTGCCAGAGACTAGTTCTGCTTTAGAAAAGTTAGTAATGGAGCATTGGAATGAGCCCGGAATAGGAATAGGTTCCTATGGATGTCTGTCAGTGAAGTAGCTTCCTTAACAACTTATGACTAGGGCCCCCTGGTGGTGCAAGGGGTTAAACACAGCACTGTGAAGCTATCCTCAGCCTCTGCAGCACAAATTTGATCCCCGCCTGGCCAGGAGCTACCCACATGGCGCAGCAAACCTCTCCTGTCTCGCCCGTTGCTCCCCTCAGCAGTGTATTTCAGTAGCTCTGCCTATTCTGCTCCCCACTCTGTCTCTGGTGAATCCTCTCACTCCCTGCACCTCTGGCCTATACCCCAGTTCTTGTATGCATAAATAAATGTATTTTTTTTAAAAAAGAACTTATGGCTGCAACTGGGCTCTGGAGAGAATTTATTGTCCTTGTGTTAGAATCAAGACATGCTTCAAATGGCCCAGATTTGTCCAATACCTGAGCACATAGTAGGCTCTCTAAAAATATATATGTTGAAGGTATTTAGGAATAAAGTGGCCTGTCAGGGTATAAGCACAGCAGTGCTCTCATTGTTATTATCAACAACAGACACAATGACAACAGCTAATATTTATTGAGCATTTACTAGCTTACCATAATGTTCGAACGTACTTTGAAAGGGAAACTCATTCATGAATCAAAGACCTGTAGAGGTCTTATAATCTAGGGTACTCAACTACCAGCCTCAGTCTTGCCCAGAAATATCTTAGAGGGTTTGGGCAGTGATAGTAGGAGGAAGTAGCATCATTTTAAAATCTGTTTTCTATATTTCACTTCCACAAAGGTATTAATAGAGAGTTTTACTGGTAAAATTTGAGTAGCATTGTTTTATGCAACACTCTTATTAAGAAAATCAAGTACTTGAATTAAGATGATCCTTTGTAAATCTCACACAATTAGTAGTTGATAGAGCTGAGACTAGAAAATAGGTCTCCAAGACACTGCTCTTTTAACCATTTTTCATCACCCTTTGCCCATTATATTATCAAAGTAACAATACTTGAACCTTTGGATTTATAAATTGGGTAACTCATGCCAGGCATTATACTAGTACTTCACAGGTATTTATTTAATTTTTGCAAAAATCCAGAAAGTGGATTCTATTATTACCATTATTTTTTAAAGATTTATTTATTTATGCATACAAGAGCTGGGGTACAGGCCAGAGATGCGGGGGGTGAGAGGACAGAGACAGAGTGGGGAACAGAACAGGCAGATCTACTGAAATACACTGCTGAGGGGAGCAGCAGGTGAGAAGGAGAGGTCTGCTTCATCATGTGGATTTCTCTCTGACTGGCTGGGGATTGAACTTGTACTGCAGAGGCTGCGGATTACTTCATAGTGCGGAGCTTAACCCCTTGCGCCACCAGGGAGGCCCTATTATTACCATTATTTAAAGAAGATGCAAATTTCACTGGGAGATTAAATAACTTG